TCTTGGGAATGTTAAGGAAGAGTTGCTCTTTGCATGTACTAAGTTTCACAAATTTTGAAATTATGGCTAAAAATTATTCATATGCACCAATTGTAATTCTGCTTTGTGTACACATAATGGAGAAATTCAGTTTTCATGGCGCGCAGTGCCGAAAGAAGTTTTCGCTGCGCGGTAACCCATGGTCGGAATTTTATGTTTTTGTTATCAAAAGATGCGCAAGACTCGAGGCTAAAATGTCAGGAAAGCTCGGATCGGGTGCTTGGGAAAAAGTTGAGGGGGGATTCCGCCACCGACCCTTTTAGGGTTAACAATTATTTGTATATTGGGAAAGTGTATAGAATGGACCTAGAACCAAACAAAAGCAGCTCGCCTATTCAATTATACACGCTACACCACAGACTACAAAGAAGTATTTATTTATTTTATTTTTTTTAATCACAATGCCCAACCCAGCCTTTTATAGAACTAAAATAGTTCTTAATATCAGACTGCAGAATATCTTCGTAAAAACAGTTGCAATGTAATTTGTAATTGCAACTTCGAGATCTCAAAGGAGAAATAATCCCCGGATGTGAAAGCTCAATAATACTTTAAAAGCATACACGGCAGTTTTCGTGTGGGCTAAGGTTTCAAGTGTCATTGGATATACTTCGCATTCAAATATAACTACTGAAGTGGAATTTCCAGTAATATTATCAATAGTCCTTGAGTAAACGTCGTTACCTTCAGAAGAATGTTATCGCAAACGACCGGGATCTCCGGGGTAAATTCTGCTTAATCTGTCCTTGCTTTGTTTGTTCTGTCTTTTGTCGATCAAAAAAAAAGTTTAATAAATAACTCGTCGGATGTGTACAGAGTAAAGCTTTCAAGTTGTTCTGGGCAACCGCCGTAAATATTGATTCAAAACAATGGTACGGATTAACAGGGTTTTTCCCCTATCTTTCCGTCGAAAAGCTTATGCTTGGACGGACCTTGTATGGCAAAACAGCCGAACTCGACAAATAGAATTTGGAGAAAATCGATTTTAAAGTTTAAACGTTTGCATTTTGTGATAATGGAACTGGGTTGGAAACCGAACGAATGCAATAAAAATAAGGAGTTTTTTTATACTTTTTTTTCTAAATTGGAGCATAAATGGATAAAAGGTTTTTAAAATATAATGATTTTGTGATGTGGTATTCTTGGCTCCAAAATATAACAAGTACTTCACTTCTATACCTTGTTGATAAAATCGTCAATCTTCAGTTCGAGTTAATGTTTTAAGCATAACTCATAGCGTACATGTACTTGTCTTCCTCGTATGATATCTGTTGGCAAAAATGCCTATGTTCAAGTTAACGGCGTAACTGGGGGGGGGGGGGGTGATGGATTATTATTTGAAGCAGACTGGAATTAATTAGAAATTAACTTGTTTTCATTTCTCTTCGCAAGTTGCCAAAATTAAGATTGTACCTCACTTTAAAATTCAATATGGCCAACTCGTGAATAAGGCCCCTTAACCACGAGGCCACGTCACTCCACACAGAACCAAATTAAAGCAATTCACCTTTTTATTTCTGTAAGCCACAGACAAATATTCCTTAGTCACATCGCCATGCTCAACCCAGCCCCCCCCCCCACCCCTTTTTGAGAATAAATACTTTTTTATGTCGAACATGTAGAATTTTACATAAACAATTGCTATTCATTCTGTAATTGCACCATCGAGATCTCAGAGGATAAACTCCTGGCAACTGTGAAAACTAATATTTACTCTCTAAAAAATTATTCAAGGTGTGTTTATGAGCCAGTAGACCTTTTTATAGCAACATACTTTAAAAAGATCATTATCAGGTTGAGTGCAGACTTTAAGCTTTCAAGTGCCCTTGAGTAAATTTGCAAAAGTGATAGCCGGGAGCTCAGGGGAATTTCCAGAAAAAAAGTCCATTCTTATTTGTGCTGTTTAATTGATGTCTTACCTTACAATAGTTCCAAAGTACCTCGTTTGTGTGGGTTGCAAAACAAGCTTTCAAGTGTTTCTGGGTAAGCATCGTAACTTTAAATTACACCCACTACGAGGAGGTTTTTGAGTGATTTTGGGTAAATTTCCATCCGAAGAATTAAGTTAGCTTCCCGTGGACTTCGTACATGATTATTTCAAAACGCAGAAGGTACATGTGACCAGTCGACCGATTTATAATACGGTCAACCGGTCCCTTGCCAAGATTGCTTTTCGCTCTTAATCCACCTGGTTTTATTCCCCTGTGAATAAAACTTGATTCTTGTAATAGTGCGCCCTCTAGCGATAAAGCGTCATGCAAGTTGCATGCAGTGAGGCGTTCGACTGTGACACACCCTGGATAGCAGACTCAACCAGGGCAAAATGACGCGCCACTCCCGATATGTTGCTTTTGACTACCGGCACATTTTCGTCCGAAGATCAACAAAATGTGTTGTTTTGGATTGTTAACTAACCTGGACGGTGATCCGGGGGACGGGGTGTCCCCAAATACTGTTGGGGGGGGGGGGGCGTCAATGGCGAATGTTTCCTCCCCCTCCCCCACTATTATTGCCCCAGTACATATATTTGTTCAATCAAAATTAACCTACACTCTCAACATTGTATTCTTATAGAGTCAAAGAAGTGCCATTTTGACTGGGAAACTGCTATATTGACCCGGAAAGTGTCATCATATTTCGACCCGGAAAGTGTTATTTTGACCTGGAAAAGTTTCAAGCCCCATTACAACCCAACTTCTTGGTCAAATTAATACCGTGTATAACGTATGAGTGTACAATAACCTCACACAGAAACATGGCACCTTGCGTCATATAAATTCACATTGCACGAGAACAGCAAGTCTGAATGTGACCAACTATGAGACAGAATTCTGGGAGGGGATTCCTTGCCGGCCTTGTTAGGGTTTCCTCCTTTTAATCTCCCTTTGCGAAAAATTTCTAAATGAAAGCGCTGATGCCTTTTTATATAAATAAAAACCCAACACCCCAAACCCTATTTTTTTTTAGCATTGGTAATAATAATTCATCAAAGTGCACTTAATAATATTTGCACTTCGATTGTTTTGTCTGCATTTATTTCGACCAAACCACTCCAAAATAATAAAAAACAAAGACCACCCCCCCCAAAAAAAAACCCCTGTCCAGCAAAGTAACACCGGTCAGTATTAGGGAGCCTAAAATGAAATATACCGACGGCCGGAGATTCCGAGTGGACACTCTCTAAGACTAGGGGGCGCTGTTGAAGGTAGGCGGGACAGAATAACATCTGATATTATAGGTGGCGCTGTTCATCTGCTGCATTTAGCTACACTTGCTCGCTATTTCAGCGACTAGACGGATGAATATGTTAGGACCGATGAGATAAAACGGGGATCATCCAAGGGCGGATCCAGAACACAATTTTTTGGGGGGCCCAAAAAAAATTTGGTCCCCCAAAAAAGTGGGTCAACAAAATTACGGCGGGGGATTCGGGGCCCGCTTAAGGGCCACGAAAAATTTTGGATTCTAGATGCTCTGTGGTGCGATCTGAGGCAATATCTGACCACTTTAACCAATGTTTTTTTTTGAGGAAAAGATGGTGGTGTACTCATTGCCTGCCTTTAAGGCCATCAGCTGAAACTCAAAAACCGGCTGTAAAATGAGTTTCGTTCCAGCAACACTGGGTCTACTTTTTTAATGCACATATGTGGGGTTCAGTACATCACAAACACTATGTCAAAAGTTCTCCAGCAAATATCCTGCAGGTTCTTTTTTACACTTCATCAACGTTTGGCAATGTTATGTACATGTTTGTATGCTAAAAACCCACATTTTCCGGTTTGAAGCCTTGCGTTGGCACTTCCAATTTCAAAACTACGGACGAACAGCACTGTAGCTTGTCACATCCTACACTCTAGAAACTCCTGGGTCAGACTCAGTCTGCTCAGTCCTTTTCCGGGTCAAAAATTGACCCCCTTTGGAGTCATAAATGACCCCTTTGGAGTAAAAAAAAAGACATGTTTCTCGGTCATTTTGACTGAAATGTGTATTTTTTTACCCAGAAAAGGACTGAGCAAATTTGGATTCAGATTCTGGGTCAATCTGACCCAAGAGATTTTAGAGTTAAAAAATATCTTTTATGTACATTGGCAATTGGGTAACACAGAACATGACCCTTTGTTTTCTCATCTGGTAGACATCACCACAGTCCCTCTTCCAAAAATATTTCACTGTAATCTAACTCATTTGGCAGCATACAACAATGCAATTATTTTGAAGGTTTATAATGCAGTGGTGGAACCAGCTCATCATTAATGAAAGTGAGGGGGTGCCCAAAATGGAGGTGTCTTTAGAGTAAATAAATACCTGTACATGTAACCAGCAGAAGAAACAGGAAAGCAGACAAGACATGTCCCTTTAAACAAAACAAACTAACGCATATAAAAAAATGGGTGCTATGCCCCCAAACCCTCTGGATCTGCTGTGGTGAACCAGGTACGTCACTTAAAGAACCTTCTACTTGTAAGAAAGACCACCTTTTTTTGAATGAAACAGGCTTTAAATACAATTATAAATCAAAGGACCATCAGAAGTCAGAGTCTGGTTTCATAATTTCAAAAATCAACCATTGTACATTTATTTGTTATCTTATCAAAACAGCCATCTTAGTTTGGAGAAAAGCCTTAAGATCAGTCTTTTGTCAAAGAAAATTTCAGCTTTTTATTTATTGATACATTGATTAGCACCGAAAAAAGTTTGCATGTATATCAATAAAAAGAAAACAAAACCATAACTCATGCTATTTTGTATGCTTACACATTAAAGAGAGTGATTTGGCTTGTCATATGTGGCTAGTCTCACTGTTTATATTCACAGAATTTGCCTTTCTACTGGAACTAATTTTTTATAATTGTAAAAGAATTAAAATGAATAAAACCAACAATAATGAACAGAAGGATACAATTATGTAGTTTTGAAATCTAGAGTTACTCATTATTTTCATTATAATGTTAAATGCTAACTAGTCATGCTGATACAACTTCAAGTAAATGTTATCACTACATCAAAGTTCTCATCAAATCTTGTGCAGTAACGGCATAACAACAGGATGGAGCGTATGTCTTGCTTTCTAAGCCAAAGTTTCAGTTTTGAATCCTCCTCTGAAGTCCTCAGAGATTCAACCACACATCCAGCAGATAAAGTAGCGGTGTAGATGATGTCGCATATATCAAGGAGAGAGACCTGTGGATATTCTCTTCTAAGCCGATATGTCAACTTATCAGTTCTGTAAAAAAAATAGTAAAATATAGACAGGTTAAGTATCTGATGACCAAAAACAATGATTACTGTGGATGTGCTTTAGAAAAAAGAAAACAACTTTTTTAATCTAGAGTTAAATTACTAGAAAGATCACGTGCCCGATCGTTTTGCCTTCCACTGTAAATATGTAAACATTGGTAGCTATTGAGAACAAACCTTTTCAGCTTCCAAAGCAATATCAAGAAGTTTTCATTTTGAATATTCTATTAAAGTTTATTTCTGTTTGCACTCTGAATAACAATCAAAACATCTTACCAATATAAAGAACCAAGGCCAGTTCCTTCGGCTTCTAAATCATTTCATGATTCCAACAGTTCAGCAAGCTGGGACATTCTCATGAAACTAAGTTGTTGATCGGGGTTGAACAGTCAGTCGCAGAACATCTCCCTTTTCCTGACGTTCATCCTTTAGGCCTATATATATAGAATCAAATAGTAAATTCTATAAAAAGCTATTTTGCTATTTTATACAAAGGGAAAGACTACCCTCACACCTCCATATAAGTTTCCTTCAACTATGGAGAAAGAGACTGCACGACATTTTATTATGGGATTTTGTGCAGTACCCGTTGTAGGCCTACTTTGGCATCTTAACGTTAGACATTTATTTTCACTGCCAAAGGTACTCGGTTTGAATCATGGAACTAAAAAAAAAAAAACTTTTTTTACTGGGTTTTTCAAATAAGATCTATTTGTCATTGAAGACATTTTTTTTCATTGACTTAAGAGAATTTTTCTAAAAGGAAAGTAAAGTCCAAGAACCATTTGGTAAACAAGTGACGTACCCAACAGTCCAATGCCGTAGAGAAAGAAAAGGTGTTTTTTATAACCAGGAATCTGTTATCATTTTGAATGGTATCTTTTGCAAGAAAATAAAATTTTCCTATGCATTTTCAGTTGACGCCATCCAAATCGATGCGGTTCTGTGCATTCACGGTGCATCGTGGTGACCACCAGCTTTGTTTTCGCATTGCGTTTTTATCGTTGTGTCACCCCATTTTCCCTCAAAGAAATTAAAACCTAACCTTACCCTTAATTCAAGACAATTAAACTCAAACATGGATTTTTTGGTTCTTTTTTGGGCACATAAATACACAATCGCCTTCATTATAATGACATGTAGGCCTACCTCCAACGGAAGTTCTGCTTTTTGTACTGTTGCAGCTTGTCCTTGAATTGAGGTTTTCATCAAAATCAAAATCCTGGTTGATTTTGTGTGCAGCATGACACAGTTATGTAGATAGGCAATTAAAAGAAACTTGAACTTTGCCCGGAGCTTTTTCGGTGAAGAAATCTGGGTCTCAGCTGAAGTGTCTGGTTTACGTTTTCTTGCAGACGTTTACTATCTATAAAAACCGCCACGGGTGAGATCGGCCGGCCGGACTGCCTTGTTTACATGCGCCGGTAGTGCATGATGTAGTAGTAGTACGTACAGTACGATACAGACATAGCAGATCCACTGCCCACACATCGTGGGTATATTCGGCGATGCCATTGTGAAATTCAACCACTCTTTGGCACAGGAAAATTAACTTACTATCACCGGACATCAGATCCTTTGCATTTCCCCCCTCAAACGTGACAGATTATGAGTGCAAACACTTCTTTTTTGCACCGGTCGATGTTAACGTTGACGCACTTTTGCCAATGGACGCCGCCATGTTTGTTAAATGTCATGACCTGCGACCTCATATCTGGTGTCTAATTGGACAGTTCACGTCACGTGGTACGATGCGTCATACGCGGCGGATTTTTTAAACGTAGGCGCGGTACGTTTTTGAACGTCCACAATGGACAAATAGTTCGCTTTTTCGAGTCAAATTATCAAAAAACTGCTGGACGAAATGTGGAGAACTTTTGTAGTATCATTCTTTGGTAGTGTATTTCGGTACAACAGTTAAAAAAATTTAGACCCGCGATTGCTGGAGCGAAACGAATTTTCCAGTCCAGCTGACGGCCTATTTATTGCGATGTCACATAATAACAAAATTACAAAAATGGTTTCGTTTGGGAGGAGGGGGAATGGCCCCCTTTGCCCCCCCCCCCCCCCCCCCCTGGATCCGCCCTTGGGATCATCTCTGCCCATTGTAGTGACGACCCTTGCTATGAACTCGAAATGTTAGTTGGAACGGTCCAACGGAACGCCGGACGTTCCGCCGGGCACAGCTGCCGTTCCGTTGGACCGTTCCGTCGGACCGTTCCATACTTTTCCTGGCATATGTGCCCGGCGGAACGTTCCATCGGAACGGTCCGCCGGACGGTCTGTTAGAGGAAATATTCTCGCCGAAGTGCGGATATGACGGTTTCTAACCAAGCGAGCTGGTACTCGTCAACATTGGTCATCGTGCATCTTTGTGTGTGTGTGCGTGTGTATTTACATAATTACATGGTATACCTACGTACACGTACGACATGCTACGTATACAGCTGGGACGTGCAGTGTGAATGTGTGAATGGCTGTGCATGTACTGTTCACGCGCGCATACTTGTCCTTCCCACGAAAATGACTGAAAAGGCTCCAGTTGCAGTAGACTTGACTCAAGTCGGAATTGCTTTAAGTCGGTATCTAAAAAAAAGTAGCAAAAATCACTTAGTTTACGTCTTTTTCAGATGCCCAACAATTAAGGTACACTTCACCGCGCGTTCCACTTCAGTGCCGTATAACAATGCGCACACACTGTATGTGCATTGTACAACACGCGTATTACACGTACATGTGTGTGCATGTTTTGCAGAGCATGTGCATACATGTGGTGCAAAAGTTAGCAATTGGGTTGCTGCATCACTTGAAAATAACATGTACATGTACGTTTTTAACATGATGGTCCGGATTCGACGCATGAGGGCGCGCGTTATGTACTGTAAGGACGTATGCGATATGCGCTGTGAGTGGATTTATTATAATATAGGCACAGACCGAGCGCAACCCAGACTTGGCCAAGTCTACAGTTGCAGTCGAGCGCGAATCTTGCGGTTACTGAAGATGTGTCACAGAGGCTAACTTCTGTTCCTGTTTGGGTCTCATGTTTTATTGAATCGAACCCCAGATTACTGTTTCCTTTTTTTTTCACTGCAAATTTATAACATTAGGTCTAACTTATCCATTTCAACAACTTACCTCATCGTCATCACAAACGAAAAAAATATGTTAAGATGTGCGCATGATACGCAATTACGGGTATCCCATCTGGATCGTTCGCGTTCCCAGCTAAACGTTCCGACGGGCACATGTGCTCAGCGGAACGGTCCAAAGGACCGTTCCACTAGAACGGTGGAATGGTCCAACGGAACGCTCGCCGTTCCGACGGGCACACAGACCGTTCCAACGGAACGCTGGAACGGTCCGATGGAACGGTCTAACGGAACGTTCCCGTTCCGACTTTTGGGACGATCCCTTAACTCGTCTGGGAAGGAATTCCACAGAGACGCGGTGCACAGCTGGAAACGGCCCGGTCTCCCTCGTAGCTTGCCAGGTGAGTTTTGGGAACAGAAAGTAACTGTGATGAAGAAGATCTGAGGCCTGGTCGGAGGTTGCGAAGTTGTAACAGGTCTCGTTTGTAGGATGGAGCTAATCCGTGAAGGGCTTTGAATGTAAGCAGCAGGATTTTGAATTGTATTCTGTATTTAACAGCCAACCAACAAAGTCATGTCAACACAGTTATTGTGAAATTGGGAACTCAAGATAAACACATTGTATTGCACTGACATTTCCTGTAATATTATGTCATGGTATTTGACACGGAAATCTAGAAACTTGACAGGAACAGCCCAAGAATGAATGTAATAGAATTTAAGGATATTGCAGTAAGAAGGACACTCCCCATTTTCTCGTCTTGTCAACACAGTTTTTGTGAAACTGGGAACTCAAGATAAACACATTGTATTGCAATGAAATTTCCTGTAATATTTTATCATGGTATTTGACACGAAAATCTAGAAACTTGATAGGAACCGCCGAAGAATGAATGTAATATAATTTAAGGAAATTAAGTATGAACTCCACATTTTCTCCTCATGTCAACACAGTTATTGTGAAATTGGGAACTCAAGATAAACACATTGTATTGCATTGAAATTTCCTTTAATATTTTGGCATGGTATTTGACACGAAAATCTAGAAACTTGACAGGAACCGCCGAAGAATGAATGTAATAAAATTTAAGGACATTGCAGTAAGAAGGACACTCCCCATTTTCTCGTCTTGTCAACACAGTTTTTGTGAAACTGGGAACTCAAGATAAACACATTGTATTGCAATGAAATTTCCTGTAATATTTTGTCATGGTATTTGACACGAAAATCTAGAAACTTGACAGGAACCACCGAAGAATGAATGTAATATAATTTAAGGAAATTGCAGTATGAACTCCGAATTTTCTCGTCATGTCAACACAGTTATTGTGAAATTTGGAACTCAAGATAAACACATTGTATTGCAATGAAATTTCCTGTAATATTTTGTCATGGTATTTTGACACGAAACTCTAGAAACTTGACAGGAACCGCCGAAGAATGAATGTAATATAATTTCAGGAAATTGAGTATGAACTCCCCATTTTCTCGTCATGTCAACACAGTTTTTGTGAAATTGGGAACTCAAGATAAACACATTGTACTGCAATGAAATTTTTCTGTAATAATTTGTCATCGTATTTGACACGAAAATCTAGCGACTTGACAGGAACCGCCGGAGAATGAATGTAATATAATTTAAGGATATTAAGTTTAAACTCCGCATTTTCTCCTGATGTCAACACAGTTTTTGTGAAATTGGGAACTCAAGATAAACACATTGTATTGCAATGAAATTTTTCTGTAATAATTTGTCATCGTATTTGACACGAAAATCTAGCGACTTGACAGGAACCGCCGGAGAATGAATGTAATATAATTTAAGGATATTAAGTTTGAACCCCCGCATTTTCTCCTGATGTCAACACAGTTTTTGTGAAATTGGGAACCCAAGATAAACACATTGTATTGCAAAGAAATTTCCTGTAATATTTTGTCATGGTATTTGACACGAAACTCTACAAACTTGACAGGAACCGCCAAAAAATGAATGTAATATAATTTTAAGAAATTGCAGTATGAAGGACACTCTGTATTTTATCGTCATGCAACAATTACTTGCAAAGAGGGCTCGCTACACAAACACTGCTCACCGCTCTGATCCGACGAACGTCTGGCCGTTCGTCATGTTAACACAGTTATTGTGAAATTGGGAACTCAAGATCAACACATTGTATTGCAATGCAATTTCCTATAATATTTTGTCATGGTATTTGACACGAAAATCTAGCAACTTGACAGGAACCGCCCAAGAATGAATGTAATATAATTTAAGGATATTGCAGTAAGAAGGACACTCCCCATTTTCTCGTCATGTCAACACAGTTTTTGTGAAATTGGGAACTCAAGATATTCACATTGTATTGCAAAGAAATTTCCTGTAATATTTTGTCATGGTATTTGACACGAAAATCTAGCAACTTGACAGGAACCGCCGAAGAATGAATGTAATATAATTTAGGGAAATTAAGTTTGAACTCCGCATTTTCTCCTGATGTCAACACAGTTATTGTGAAATTGGGAACTCAAAATCAACACATTGTATTGCAATGGAATTTCCTGTAATATTTTGTTATGGTATTTAACACGAAAATCTAGAAACTTGACAGGAACCGCCGGAGAATGAATGTAATATTATTTAAGGAAATTGCAGTATGAAGGACACTCCGTATTTTATCGTCATGCAACAATTTCTTGGAAAGAGGGCGCGCTACAAAAACACTGCTCACCGCGCTGATCCGAAGTACGCCTGGCCGTTCGTCATGTTAATATGCAAAATTATATCTTTGTCAATACTTGTTTGTGTATTAATTTAGTTCTTAGACAGTTTTATGCGGCAACAACTGGAATATTTAAGATCTACACACAGGCAAATGAAATGTCCTGATTTGTCACTCTGTTGTGTGGCCCTCAGCCAGAGTATCCAATGAATTTGATCTAATATTCTTGAAATCGATTGAACAAAGACTAATTCAATCCTTACATTATTTAGATGATCATCAGCAGAGACGAGTTCCATTGAAATCAGACGGCATAGAATGGACACATGTTGACATTGATTGACCATTGATGACTTTAAGTTAACCGTTTATGAATTTGAATGAAAACAGTTTTAAAATGTGCGGGAAAATCTAAACTATTACGAAGCTCCACTCCCTACAAGGCGAATGCAGGCTTAAATAATTACACCCACTTAGTGTGGTGCGTTGATTGACAATTGAACGCACTGCTTAGCTTAGAGTT